CGCCACCCCTGGCGAGCCCCGCAGGGAGGCCGGGTCTGCCGCGCCCCCAAGCACAGCGCCCTGGCAGGAGGCAGACGGCCCCGGGCAGCTGGGTGCCAGCCGCTCTGCCACCGGGGGAGGGAGCTTTGCTCTGGCTCTGCCTGGCTGCTGGCACCAGCTCCTGTTTCCAGTCGTGGCCCCGGGGAGGCCTTGCGCCCAGACCTGCACCCTCAAAGCCTAGCGCTGACCACTGACCACTAGCAGGCCTGTGGCCAGAGTGGAACAGCCAGATGCCCTTCGCCGCCTCAGGCCACAGGGCGTCCTCTCTGCAACCCGGGTGTCCGAGACCCCGTCCAGTACTTGCCGGGGGCCAGGCCAGCCCCTCGTCGGGGCTGATTGTGGAGGCCTGGGCCCCGGAAGGGCTGAGCGTCCCTGGGCCACGCTTCCACTCCCCACACAGCGCACACACACGACCTGCCTCAGGAGGGCCAGTGCGGGGGCGTCACCTCACCGCGTCTGGGGGCCTCGGCCCTGACTGCAGCTGCCCTGGCCGCAGAGGCCTCCAGGCTGGCTGAAGGACTCTAGTTCCATCGCAGCCACGCACCTGCTGCCCTGGCCTGCAGGCGATTTCTAGAACACTGGGGTCATAGCAGGCACCACACAGTCGGGGGGCCCCGGAGCACGGGGGCGGGGGCGGTGCTCGTGGCCTTGGCAGAGGCTTCGGGCCAAGGTCTGCACAAAGACCCAGAGCTTGGCCCCAAGTGTGGGTGCCCGCTGGGCCTCCGCCTTCACCTTGCTGGGTTGAGCTGCGTCTGACCCCACCGGGCCCCAAAGCTGAGTCCCCCGGCCAGTGGGAGCATCTCTGTAGCCAGCCTGCTGCCGATTCAGGAACGCAAATGGCGCCTACTGACCCGGCCAGTACTCGCCATCCGCCCCGGGGGCTGGCCCTGGCCGCCTGACCCGCGGCCCCGGCAAGAGTCAGGGCTGGACGAGCCTGAGAGCGGCTGGTCCCGCCTGGGCTCGAGACCCTGCTCCAGCCGCGCTGGGGCAGCGGCTGCCGCCACAGGCCTCTCCCTGCGGCCTTGTCCAGGCGGCGCCCCCGGGCGGGGGCAGCAGAGGCCTGGCCAGCGTCCCGCCGCGCCAGAGCCGACCTGGCGCCCTCCCCAGCAGTGCGGCGTCTCTGACATAAACTGTGCCTTTCAAAAAGAAAAAATGCAAATCCCTAAACTTGAACATTTCCTAGTGCCTTGCTAGACGGCAGGAGCAGGCTGGCAGGGGGACGCTGGAGGCCCGCACACGCCTGCGCGTCGGTGGGGGCGTGGGCCTGTGCACGCCCCGCTCCGGGCGGGAGAGCGGGCTGCAGCCAGGGCCCGAGATGGAAGCCCCAGCGCTGGCGAGAGCCATCATCACCTGAGGCCGCGGCCTGGAAGGGCCTCAGGAGCCCCGAGGGCCTCTTGGGTGGCCAGGCCCGCACCCTGCCCAGGGGCGCGGTCGGGGTCCTGGGGACGCTGCCCGGCCTGCAGCGCGCTGACCACCACCTGCCGCGCCAGGACCTCGGCCTCAGGGGTCTGGTGCGCCCACAGCCCCTGTGGGTGGCTGGAACCGGCTTCCGTGTCCTCGTGCGCGGAGGGTCTCAGCACTTTACCGCTAACGGGGAGCAGGGCCTGCTTCGCCGTGTGTGCGCCTGGGCCATGCGGTCTTGATGTTTTCTGAGGATTTAAGCGGGGGCGGGCCAGGCTGCACCTCTGGGGTCCCTTCTGCCTGGGGATGGTCTCTGTGCTTGATCTTCAGCTGAGGCTGCTGCCCGCCCCGGGGTGCAGGGGGCCCTCTTCCCGGGGCAGGGTCCCCTCAGCCCTTCAGCTGCCAGCCGAGGACAACAGGGGGCTCCTGCTCTTTGCCAACTTGGGGACCGGGGCGCCCCACGGGAGAGCGGGGAGAGCCGAGAACCCACCAGAAGCCCAGCGCTGCTTGTCACCCGGAAAGGGGCCTCTGTGCCGCGTGGCCGTGGCCGGGGAGTAAACCCTGCACTCCCTCTGACGTGGTCTTGCTTCTTCCTTGTTGCGCGCCGCCCTGCACCCACCTCAGGCGCTCCCAGCACCCACACGCCCGGCCCCTGGGCTGCAGGACGCAGCTGGGCAGGGGATGTCGGCTGTGAAAGCGGGTGCCGTGGCCCCCAGTGGGGAGAGCCAGCGGCATGGTTAGGGAGCGCCTCCCCACAGAGCCGGAGCCAGGAGCGGCCGGGAGGCGCTGGGGAGAGGGCCGGCCAGGCCCCCGGGGGGCCACAGCCCCCAGCCAGCAGGGCAGCCTAGTCCCCGCCTGCAGCAGCCCGGGAGCCCCGCGTGCCGCCCCGTGGGGGCCCACCCACTGGCTGCAGCCGCAGGCCCAGCTAGGGCCGCCCTGGCCCGCCGTCCAGCACTGGGAGGGGCTGGGCGCTGCGGCTTGGGCCCAGCAGAGGGCGCTGCGGGCCAGCCCGAGGGGACGCGGGCGCCTTTCAGAGGTTTGGTTTTGGCCTTAAGTAGGAACGAAGGCCCCTCTCTGCGTCTCTGCGTCCTGTGACCTCAGGTGTGCGTCCTCGAAAGCCACACACGCCCTGCCCGCTAGGTCAAGGCGGGTCTGACCCTCCCCGCAGGGCCCCCTCTAACCTGGCCGCCCCCCTTTGTTTACTTAGGTATTTGAGCTGATTCTTTTGCTTACCTGCGCAGTGCCAGTGAAAGGACAGTGTTTGCCTTCCTCAGCTCTCTGGCGGAGAAAGTGTGCCGGAGAAAGTGTGCCCTCCTGCCCTCGTTGCCTCAGGAATTCGGTGGATTCTTTGAGAGGCTTAAACGGCTCGCTCGACCGGCACAGAGGAGGCCAGAGCCCCGCAGCCCGGCGCACGCAGGGACAGCCCGAGGCCTACGGCCCGTGTCTTTATTTTCTTTTTATATTGATGCGCACGAGCTGGGGTGCAGCCAGAGGTGCGGGGGCGGGAGGGCTCCCCAGACAGTGGGGTGCAGAACAGGCGGCTCCACGGAGACCCAGCGCTGAGGGCAGCGGGGGCAGGAGAGTCTGCTGTGCCCGGGGGTCCCCCCTGGCCGGCAGGGTCGCACTCAGGAGCCCCCAAGAAGCTGCAGGGGACCGGGCAGCCACCTCCTGCCGCCCCGAGCTAGGAAGCCACTTGCTGGGCCGGGGGGGGGTGGGGGGGTGCGGGACGCAGGGCTCCTCACAGCGGCCTCCAGGGAGCGGGTGCAGGGACAGGGGTCCCCTTCCTCCTGCATCTTAGATCCCCCAGTCTGCAGTGGGCGTACACTCTACGGTGCCAGAGTTGTTGGTTCTTGGGGTGCAGGGGAAACCCCCACCCGTTTCCTCTGAGGCCAGAGGGCCAGCAGGAGCACCAGACGGCTGGCAGGGGAGGCGGCGCTTCCCAGCATGCGGGGTGCTCCTGTGCACGGTTGCAGAGTCACAGCAACTGGGTACCCCCACTAGGGGCCTGGGGCGGCCAGGAGAGAAAGGGGACACGGCCCATGACAGATGAAAGGGGGGTGGCGCCTTCCCTGGGGTAAGGTGAGGTTCTCAGGTAGAGGCCTGCTGCTGCTCCCTGGGGGAGGCCCCAAACCCACCCCTGGGTCCTCAAGGGGGGTCGCTTTGGTCAGGAAAGGCACCTGAGTCTCTGGCTTCAGGCCCCGTGGGCCGCGCTCTGGAGGGGTGCCCACTGCCTCTTGGGGAGACACCGTCCATGGCCACCTGCGCAGAAGCGGGGTCCCCGGGGCACTGCTCAGAGTTTCCCTGAACTTGGCCAGGGCAGGGCTCAGGCTCGACAGGTGCCCGTGAGGGGACAGCGTGGCTGGCGTGGCCGGCGTGGCCGCTGGTGCTCTTTGGGGTGTTTCTCCTGCACCTGCCCAGACTTCCAGAAAGCCCCGCATCGGTGGGTGCCCAGCGCCCCCGGAAGGTGCCTCCTGCCCTGGGCCTCGGCTTCTCCGCCTGACTGAGGGGCCGCTGAGGGCTCAGCCTGGCTTGGGACCCCGCTCCCCTTGCTTTCTGCAGTCTTGGGGACCCCGGGGATGCAGGGGGAGTGGCCACTTCAGTCTGCTGCTGTGCCTCATGCCCTGGGGTTCATGGCTGTGGCCCCACCCACACAGCCCTCCACCCACCCTGCGAAGCCTCCTCCCTCCTGGCCTGCGCAGGGGCTGCCAGCCTCTGGCCTTAGGCTGTGGGCGCCTCCTTTGTCCCCCTCGATGTCCTGGTTTGAGAGTACTTGGGGTCCCCATGGTGCCCCTGGCAACCTGCAATTCTCACCTTTAAGCCAGACTGGATTCAGGGCCAGCAGGGGCCAGCCCCGGGCTGCTCACACTCACCCTCGCCCTTGAAACAAAAGAACACATGGCTGCGTCGGAGGAAGCAGGTCTCTTAGCAGCTTTGCAGCTTTTGTTCCCAGCTGCTGGAAGAGTGTCTGGTGGCAGGGCACCTCTCGCAGACCGGCCTCCAGCCCACGGGCAGCAGGACCTGCGGCCTGGGACCCGCAGGGCCGGCACAGCCCACTGCAGCAGCTGCAGCCCAGGGCGGGCTCCCCCAACACACCCCCGAGTCATGGCCCGCAGGGCCTCGGGCACCGCAGCTGGGCCCCGCGCTGTCCTGGCATGGAAGGACGCAGGTGGGCGGCGGCCCATTCTGTCGTCTGCAGCCCGGTGGTGATGGGAAAGCCGAGGCCGCAGGCTGCCTGCTTGGCCCACAGCGGTGCTGGCCCTTACTGTCGGTGCGTGCCCTGGCCACTGCCCACATCTCCCCGGATCTCCTAGGACAGCGGGCACATGAGCCCTGGATGCTGACCAGAGACAGGAGGCCAGTAACAGCACGTTCTGCCTCCGGCCCAGGGAGACCGGCTGCACGTGTCTGTACCTGCACAGCTGGGACAGGGATTGAGGGGCGGGGGGCAGCGGGGAAGGCTCCCTGGGGGAGGTGACCATTAAACTGAGCCCTGAGGGATGGCATCGCCCTGGAGGAGTAGGCAGAACAACCCTGCAAACGCAGAGAGCTGGCGGGGAGCGGGGCTGGCTTGCGTGAGGCCTTCCGGAGAGAGACGGACCCAGGCAGGCACCGCCTGATGGGGCGCAGGGTGCTCCGAGGTGGTGCCGAGGCGGTGTGCCAAGGTTGCCGGGGTAGAGCAGTCAGCCCAGGGGCAGCTCAAGCCCGTGGGGCGCTTCGGGTGAAAGGCGGCCTGGCCCGGCCACTTGGAGGTGAGAGGAAGGAGAAGCAAGGCTGGCGGGCTGGCCGGTCAGGGGCCTCCTGGGCTGTGCCGGGCCGGGGCTGCCTGAGTAGGAGCTGAGGCAGCCTGCTGGAGCACGGGGGAGCCTAGAGAGCTGTGAAGTGGGGGCTGCTTAGCTGTGGGAAATGCGTGGCCCCTGCGGACCCACATTGCCCGCTTAAAACCTAGTGTTGCTACTGTTTGGAGATTTCTCAAGCTGCTAAACATGGAGCTTCCCTATGACCCAGCAATCCCACTCCTAGGTCTCTACCCAAAAGACACAAAAACACTGATCCAAAAAGACACCTGTACCCCATGTTTATTGCTGCTTTATTTACAATTGTGAAGACATGGAAACAGCCCAAATTCCCAAAAGTAGATGACTGGATTTAAAAAAATGTGGTCCATATATATATAATGGAATATTACGCAGCTACCAAAAAGGTAAATTTGTGCCTTTTGCAGCAGCATGGACGGAGCTGGAAGGGATCATGCTTAGTGAAGTAAGCCAGAAAGAAAAGGAAAAATACCAGATGGTTTAACTCATAGCAGGAACATAAAGGACCGGGGGGAGAGGGGAATAATAATAATGATGAACAACAATTTATATGGGTAGAAGGGGATCAAAAATGGTGGGAGGAGGGAAGTGCACTGGACTTGGTGACGGCACAGGGTGATCTGGTGAGGGGAAGCCCACAGGGATGACAACCGAGATGGAAAAATGCACAACGTGATGGAAAAATAAACTATTACTTAAAAAACAACAACCTAGTTTTGCTAACGGCTTTCACTCCAGCCTCCACCTTTTGCTAGTCCATTCTAAATCTGGCGGTTGTCGCACGCATGGGAACGTGCCCTGGTAAGTGCCAGCACGACCTCGCGCTCCGATGGCTGTCGGGGCCATGCTGAAGTTACCGGCTCCCGCCCTCCTGGGCGCGCAGCACACTCGCAGCCTTCATGAATCGATGTCCTCAGACATTTCATACTAAATTACAAATTTGATTTGCCTGATTTTCTCAAGTCCTCTAAATGCCCCACCGGGCAGACTTACAAATTGAAAAAGCAGGCTCTTTCTAAGCACTTTGCAATTTGCTGTCAATTAATTACCTAAACGGGAAATGCAGCCATGGGTTCTCCCGGTGTTTCCGGAACCTTCGGTCGCAGGTAGAGGATGGGGCCTCGGCAGCGCTCTCCTGCTGCCGCCTTCTGCACTGGAGCCTTCATGCAGGGTTCCATGCTGAGGCCACGGGTTTGCTCCCCAACAAAAGGATCTGAACTTGTTCCAAACACGTTTCCCTTCTACCTGAGAGTAGAGCACTCCTAACCGGGACAACGTTGCCACTAATTCACACGGAAAATTTTATGAAACCCACAGACCCCAAACATAACCTATCAACAAAGAGGGAGACGGTACTTTCGGAGGGAGAAAAACCTGTATTGCTACTTGGAAACAGTCGTAGTAAGATGGGGAATAAAGCGCTCCGTGAAGACCGCAACATTGTGCATAAAGGAAAATTAAAAGCATGCACACGTGTGCAGACACACCCCCAAAACGGGCAGCAGGTATCTGGCTGGGTCCAATTAGGGGAGAGAAACCGCACAGTAATTCGAACAAGGAACGATTAATGCAAAGATTTATTTCTTCTAATGAGCAGCTGCGGTCCTGTGGGGCACCCCCGTAGGTCAACCCCACAGGACACGGGGCCAGCTGAAACGGGGCGGTCAGCCGGGGAGGGGTGCGCGCAGCCCGGGCTGCCGGGGCGGGGGTGTATTTGTAGGCAGAGTTCTCTTTCATCATCTTTGCAGGCGCGCACACATTACATCCATGTGCAATTTATGTCCTGCATTTTTTAAACCGAGCATTAAAAAGCATTTCTGCAAGTCACTAATTGTGTGGAAGAGCCCGCGCTGCGTAATCACCCGGCGATGGCTACACCCTAGTTGCAGCCACCTTCCGTG